AGAAAATTTTTCATCCATGATAGAAGCTTACCTGTCACCCCTCCAATATTTTCCAGTTTCCAGAGCAACCTCTTATGTGGAACTCTGTCAAAAGCCTTTTTTAGGTCCAGATAGATGCAGTCAACCCAACCATCTCTTTCCTGTCATATCTCTGTGGCTCGATCATAGAAACTGAGTAAATTCGATACACAGGATCTTCCAGATCGAAAACCATACTGTCTGTCTGATATTATATCATTTCTCTCTAGGTGTTCTACCCATTTAGTTTTGATTAGTTTTTCCAATACTTTCACTATTACACTTGTCAATGATACAGGTCTATAATTGAGGGGGTCTTCCCTGCTGCCACTTTTGTAGATTGGAACTATGTTAGCCTGTTTCCACACGTCTGCTACGATTCCTGTACACAGGGATGCCTGAAAGATCAGGTGAAGTGGAATGCTGAGCTCAGATGCACATTCTTTCAGAACCCATGGTGAAACGCCATCTGGGCCAGCTGCTTTGTTCTTACTGAGCTCCTTGAGCATTTTTTCCACTTCGTCTCTAGACACCTCTATGTGCTCTATGTTGTTCTCTGGAATTCTTATTGTATCTGGTTCCCTAAAGATTTCACTTTGTACAAACACACTTTGGAACTTTTCGTTTAGTGTTTCACACATTTCCTTTTCATTTTCCGTGAATCTATTTCCCATTTCCAACCTCTGAATATTATCCTTTACCTGCAATTTGTTGTTTATGAATTTATAGAATAGACCTGGTTCTGTTTTACATTTGTCTGCAATCCCTTTTTCAAAATTTCTTTCTGCCTCTCTCCTCACTGCCGTGTAGTTGTTTCTCGCATCTTTGTATCGCTGGTATGTTTGGGGGTTCGGCCTCTTCCTGTATTGATTCCATTTTTGTGTCTTTTGGTCTCTAGCCCTCTCGCAATTTCTATTGAACCAATCCTGTTTCCTAGTTCTGCATCTCTGTTTTGGTATAAATTTTTTTGTGCCTTTATCATATATTTCACAACACTTGACATACATCTCATTCACTTCCTTGCCTAGCATCAAGTCTGTCCAATTATACTCACTAAAAAAATTTCTAAGGTCACCATAATGTCCTCTCCTAAAGTCTGGTTTTTCAACTGCTTCAACCTCCTTATTTTCTTCCAGCTTATAACGCATTGCATACTTTATTCCCAAAAAAGACATGGTCACTTTTACCCAAGGGAGGAAGGTACTGAATGTCAAATATCTCTTCCTCCTTCCTGGTAAATATCAAATCTAGCATGGAGGGAACATCCCCTTCCCTCATCCTCGTAGCTTGTTTAACATGTTGATACAAGAATGTTTCCAGGATGAGGTCTACAAATTTACAGGTCCAAAAATCTTCTGTTTTAGCTTCATATGCTTCCCAGTCTATGGATTTCAAGTTGAAGTCACCGACTATCAACAGTCGTGATCTATCGTTATCCGCTCTCGCTATAATCTCTCTCATTATTGTTATAAGACCTTCACGTTTACTATCTAGCTCCTCCTTTGACCATGTGCTGCTTGGCGGTGGACTATATGCATTTATTATCATTAGTTTATCATCCTCATGGCAGATCTCTAGTGCTATTATGTCAATTTCTTGTGGATTGGCAGTCATTATTTCATTCACCTTTAGGTGTTCTTTTACCAGCACAGCAACGCCACCGCCTTTCCTAATTTTTCTGTCCCGTCTCCAAATTGAGTAGCCCCTTGGGAATATGACCTCATTTAAAATAACATCTTCAAGTTTTGTCTCCGTGAGTGCAACAATGTCTGGTGTCTGCAGCTGTATTACATCACTTAACTCCAGTATCTTCGATCTCACTCCATCTATGTTGGTGTATGCAATCTTCAGGAACTTGTTCCCACTCTCCTTATTCTTCACTCCCCCTCTCTCTATTGATTTTGTTGGTTTGCCTTTATGTACCACTTTACTGGTTTGCCTACCCCTATCACTTTGTAGAAAAAAGAATTTATTTCTTCTTCATTCCTGCTCTCATTTAAATGTTTTGCCTCGGCGAGGTTCAGTTTCAGCTTCTCTCTATCTTCTTTTGAAAGATCTCGTCTTAACGACCACCCTTTCCCATCCTCATCACTTTGCAATTTTCTAGCATTCCTTAGTACTTCTTCCATCTGTTTGGCACCGTTTAGGGTGATCCTCAAAGGTCGATCTTTCCCTTTTACGTACCTGCCTATTCTCCTGTAGTCGCACACATTCTCTATGGTTGTAAGACCTTCCACGAGGCCAACAATTTTATCTACTACTTTAGCTTCTTCTACAGCTCTTTCTGACCTAGATGTTATCGCCTTTTCTTTGCAGCCAAAAATGATCAGGGACTTACTCCGATCAACTGTGTTTTGCACCAACTTCGGGTTAGATGCCAATTCTTTTCTCATGTGATGTTATTCAACATGTGATGTTATTTCTGTGTGCAGGCTTGGGACCAACCCCTCTAATATTTTCCACGTATAAATTATTATGTATCTCTCCCGCCTACGCTCAAGAAAATACCGATTTAGGCTCTTTAGTTGGTCCCAGTAGTTTAGATGTTTTACTGAGTGGATTCTAGCAGTAAAGGATCTCTGCAGGCTCTCCAGGTCACCACACCAGAAACAAATACCTTTTTGATATTCCAAGAGCACGACTTAATCAAACTAGAAATGCTCTACAAATCAAGGGACCCAGGATGTGGAATGACCTTCCCAATCATGTTAGGACTGTACCTCTCTCAACCAGTTTAAGATAAAAACTAAGTACTACCTAATTAACTCCCTGTAACCTACCTTACCCCTATAATGTCAACCCATGTCTGCTATTTGTAAACAATGCTGTTTGTTGACCAAATTATATTTTTGCTGTTTTCCTGTCATGTTCCCCTCTTTTTTATTTTTATATTTTCTCAACACATTTTATACTTTAATCTCAATTAGTATCAAGTTCTAGTCTTTAGTGTTTTTCCTGCCCGAAACGCTTTGCGTAATAGTGGCTTTAGGCATTGTATGTACTAGCTCTATCTATACATTCATCAATATCTGTATCACCCCTTGTATGTATGTACTTTACCTAAATAAGCATTTGAATTTTGAATTTGAAATTTGAATTTCTCCAGCTTTGAAAAGGGCTGTCATTGTGCAGCAGTACTACATCTTGAGGTTATCTTGAAATGATTTCGGGGCTTTAATGTCCCCGCGGCCCAGTCCACGACCAGGCCTCCACCCCCAGGAAGCAGCCCGTGACAGCTGACTAACACCCAGGTACCTATTTTACTGCTAGGTAACAGGGGCATAGGGTGAAAGAAACTCGGCCCATTGTTTCTCGCCGGCGCCCAGGATCGATCCCGGGACCACAGGATCACAAGTCCAGTGTGCTGTCCGCTCGGCCAGCACCCTAAAGAGCACTAGCGTCTTGAAAAGTATCATCATCGGTATAGTATCTCTAGTGTGAACGGTTCCTGTTATCCAACCTGTCATTTTTCTTGCAGTTGTGATGGCTACTTTATTGTGTTCTCTGAAGGCAAGGTCTTCTGACATGAGTACACCCAAATCCTTTACATTGCCTTTTCGTTTTCTGTTATGATTTGAGTGGGTTTTGTACGTGGTGTTCGTTTAAGCCAGTTCTGTTTCTGTGGATATACCTATAAGCCATAATTCGTTACACCAGCCTACACTCATTACACCAGCCTACAGTCATTACACCAGCCTGCACTCATTACGCCAGCCTGCACTCATTACACCAGCCTGCACTCATTACACCAGCCTGCACTCATTACACCAGCCTGCACTCATTACACCAGCCTGTACTCGTGACACCAGCCTGTACTCGTGACACCAGCCTACACTCATTACACCAGCCTGCACTCATTACACCAGCCTGCACTCATTACACCAGCCTGCACTCATTACACCAGCCTGTACTCATTACACCAGCCTGCACTCATTACACCAGCCTGCACTCATTACACCAGCCTGTACTCATGACACCAGCCTGTACTCGTGACACCAGCCTACACTCATTACACCAGCCTGCACTCATTACACCAGCCTGCACTCATTACACCAGCCTGTACTCGTGACACCAGCCTGTACTCGTGACACCAGCCTACACTCATTACACCAGCCTGCACTCATTACACCAGCCTACACTCATTACACCAGCCTACACTCATTACACCAGCCTGTACTCGTGACACCAGCCTACACTCCTGACACCAACCTGCACTCATTACACCAGCCTACACTCATTACACCAGCCTATACTCGTTACACCAGCCTGCACTCATTACACCAGCCTACACTCATTACACCAGCCTGCACTCATTACACCAGCCTGCACTCATTACACCAGCCTGCACTCATTACACCAGCCTGCACTCATTACACCAGCCTGCACTCATTACACCAGCCTACACTCATTACACCATTACACTCATGACACCAGCCTGCACTCACTACACCAGCCTGCACTCATTACACCAGCCTGCACTCATTACACCAGCCTACACTCATTACACCAGCCTGCACTCATTACACCAGCCTGCACTCATTACACCAGCCTACACTCATTACACCATTACACTCATGACACCAGCCTACACTCATTACACCAGCCTTCACTCATTACACCAGCCTATACTCGTTACACCAGCCTGCACTCATTACACCAGCCTACCCCCGTGACACCAGCCTGCACTCATTACACCAGCCTATACTCGTTACACCAGCCTGCACTCATTATACCAGCCTACCCCCGTGACACCAGCCTGCACTCATTACACCAGCCTGCACTCATTACACCAGCCTGCACTCATTACACCACCTTATTTGTATTCTGAGATATGCCGGCCAAGGTTTGATTGCCCCCCCCCCTTGTGCTAGAAGCATATCTTATGACTGTAAACAATCATAAACATTTTATAAATGCTCCATACCTTTGTAAATTAATTTATTGTGTTTTAAGAAATTGTCAGTTCTTTTCTGTTACTTCAGGATGAGAGTGAAATGCTTGGAGACCCTCTTGAGAAGAAATTTATCACACTTAATGGCTTAGGTTTGGAAAAGCGAGTACCAGCATTGGTGAGTAATAAGATGTTAATGCTATTTATTATACTGTATAAATATTTCCTCCAAGTGTTCAGATTATCCTTCCCTCCTGTTTTCCCAGATACAACAAACAAACAAAAAATTAAATACCTGTAGTTTAACCCAACACAAATATAAAAATCAACTCTTACAAAACTAGATAAGAAGCTGTGGATCCAATCATATTTTCAGACACGTTATTATGACTCATCATCTGTATATGGATCCAGAATTAAGGATATCATGAGGTTATCTTGAGATGATTTCGGGGCTTTAGTGTCCCCTTGGCCCGGTCCTCGACCAGGCCTCCATCCCCAGGAAGCAGCCCGTGACAGCTGACTAACACCCAGGTACCTATTTTACTGCTAAGTAACAGGGGCATAGGGTGAAAGAAACTCTGCCCATTGTTTCTCGCCGGCACCCGGGATCGAACCCGGGACCACAGGATCACAAGTCCAGCGTGCTGTTCGCTCGGCCGACCGGGTCCTCCGCTCGGCCGACTGGCTTCCCGCTCAGCCGGGGATAAGGAAAGTCATCACACAACTTGATAATGGTCCATGACATTCTAAAACATCATTGTTTCTCCGTTTTCTGATGTGTGGTTTGGTCATCGTGAGGATAGTTGAACTTAAAACTAAAATTTTATCAAAGAATATTTTTATATCATCCAGGTAATCGTATTTGTTTCTGTCCAAGTCCTAATATTTTGTTGAAAAAATAACAAGTTCTGGAAAAATAGCTGATTGGAACTTTACAATTCTTCACTTAAGTCCTGCAATCAAAATATTACTGTAATATATTGGCAAGAGATGTTAGTGAAATGACAGACTTCGACCTAAGGTTTCTCTCTTGAGTGCAAATTTTTAGCAGGTCTGCTTTGTGGTATGTTGTGGTTGGCTGACATGTCACCTTCAAACAATAATCACTACTATGACACAGTAATCAGACACTTGAGACGTTAGTTTGCTTCCATGGCAGCCTTGGCCCATACACGTTACATGTCAAACATGACAAATCCTATCTTGAGCTACTAATTCACCAGCCACTTTACTAGCTAGAAATACTGTACAGTAAACCACACTTTTTTTTTTTTTAATTATATACAAGAGTTCTTATATTTTTGTACAGCCACTAGCACACGTAGCGTTTTGGAAGATGGTGAGGAGAGGGGAGAAGGGGGAGAGGTGTTACTGTTTGGAAGGAGAGTCCCCTTCCATTATAACATCAGGCAGTGATGACTTTTCTGGGATACATTATACATTATAACATCTGGGCAGTGATACACTCTCTGGCATGTTTTGCCTGCATACCACTAGGACCTGCTTGTGGCTCACTGCTTGCTTGTCTTATTAAGAATTTGTCTAAAGACACTTGTTTTTCCCTACATTTTAACACTTGTCTGTAGTAAGACATCACATTGTCATTTCAAGGTCAATGCAATGGCCTGCTACAGCTTTATCTGGGGGAGTTTCTGGGGGGAGCCCCGTCGGCTCCCCGGAGCTTTACCGGCTGATATGCTAATGTCAGACTTTGGCATCAGTCATGTGTATGGAGTTCTAGGGCCTACCGGGGACCACGAGCCAGAACCTGGCCCCCTCAGAGAGGCAAGGGGAGCAATGGCCTATAGAAACCCCCGTGTGGTTGGAAGCATTCTATGTCTGCCATCGACCGGGTCAAGCATCCAGAAAGGTAAGCATTCCAAAACAAACCCCTATTCTGGTGAAAATTGCTACCTAAGCCGAACTAGTGGATAGAACTCTTCAACAGAAAACAAGGAAACTAGTATGACGTCATACGTCACCGCGCCGCTGTCTGCACAGCTCCCCCCTCCCCAGGAGGGGGAAGGGGGAGCCCCAGACCTCCCACGCCGGCTATCCACCCACCAGTTCTTCGGCTGATGCTATAGGCAATGGTTATGTGCTCCGGCTCCAGTGGTTGTTTCAGCACTGTACCTAGAGTGTGGTGTCTGTTTTCTAGGTGGTGCGTGAGCCGGGAGTGATTCTTCAGTACTCGGGCTGCATGCACCTAGGGTTCCCTTCCCTAGGTGCCCTGTAAGTACTGCCCTTGGGGCTTGGGGCCACCTTCCACAAGTTCCTTGGGTCCTGCCCCTGCTTGGCCGTTTACTGCTTGGTTTTCGGCCGCTCTTTGTGTGCTCGGGGGTTCTGTCTCCCTTGTTCGCCTTAGAGTAAGGGGCAGTGTTTGCACTGGTGGGGCGCGGGGTACTGTGCAGCTTGTCTTTACCAATCATAGCGGCCGGCTCTGTTCCGCTTGGGTACGCTGTCCTCTTGCGGGGTTTTCTTTTTCTTTTTGTTTATCTACCTGGTGGGGGGGTCTGCCGTCGTTCTTGCCCCTTGTGTCCCTTGTGTTCTGAGTATTTTCTGGTGGTGCCCCCTGCTAGGTCCCCGTGAGTGTACACGTCCCGGGGGTTCAGCTCTTAGAAAGTTGTTTGGTAGCTTTGGGTGCCGGTTAGCAGTACCCTGCCTGGGACTACCTGAGCGCGAGTCCTCTTAAAGTAAACGCTCGGGACCCTGGGAAACCCCTGGGGGCGCGCGGGTCCGATGGATGTGACCCCAGAGCCCCCCCCTCGCTTCCAGCGAGTTTGAGGGTTGCTCTCACCTTTTGTCTCTGGGTGACTCTCTGTTTTGCCTCCGTCTGCTGCCTGTGGGGTCGGTGACACCTTCGACCCGGAGTCCTGCGAGTTTGGTTGCTCGTTGTGGCTCGGTTACCCAGTTGTGCTAACACAGCGGGTGCGGGCAGCAGGGGCGTTGCACTTGAGCCTTGGTGGTGGCAACGTTCTCGTGGTTTCCTCCCCGGGAGCCCCGGGGCTGCCCCGTTGTAGTTCGTTTTGGGACTTGGGGGTGTTGGCTGCTTCGGTTCCATCCACGCCCCCTTGTCTTTTCCCCTGGTTCACCCTGCCTGCATCCGGTTCCTTACGGTCTGTAGGTTCGGGGCGGGGTTTTTGGTGGTGTTGAGACTCGGGCAGTCTCCGGGAATTCCCCTTCCGGGGTAGTGACGGGGGCATTTGGGCCTGTTCCTCCAGCCGTGTTGTATGAGTCTGCCAGTGGGCTCCCTTCCTTAGTGTTTTCACGGGTGCCCCGGTTTTCTGGTACGGCCGGGGCTTTGGGGGAACGGCTCGGCCCCGGGGCCTGTCGTGTAGGTTCCTGGGGCTGGGGAGGGGCTGACTTGGGGGGGCCTTGGCCCCGTTAGACCCCGTGGGGGTTTTTATCCCCCTCTAGGCGGGGCTTGTGGTCACGCGGAGTGGGGTCTTTCCTCCCCACTCGCCGTACGTGCTGTTGGACGTCGGCCCCTCCCCGGGCTCGGTTCCTTGGCCTTTGAGTCGGTTGGTTCCGTCCTGTGGGTGGATGTTTCCTCTCCCCCCCTTTTGGGACGGTGTTTTTGTCATGTTTTCCCGTTCGGTGGGGTTCTGCGTGACTTCTGATCTCGGGTGCGCCTGCGCCTTCGTGTGCCTTCGGGACTAGTGTTGGCTTCTGTGTTCTCGAGGGTACGGGAAGGTTTTTCGCTACTTCCCGCATTATTGGAACGTCTGTCGGCTCCTCGTACTTGTCGCCCTGTTGGGCTACTTGTCGCCCTGTTGGGCTACTTGTCGCCCTGTTGGGCTACTTGTCGCCCGGTTGGGCTACTTGTCGCCCGGTTGGGCTACTTGTCGCCCGGTTGGGCTACTTGTCGCCCGGTTGGGCTACTTGTCGCCCGGTTGGGCTACTTGTCGCCCGGTTGGGCTACTTGTCGCCCGGTTGGGCTACTTGTCGCCCGGTTGGATTCCTTTTTGGGCTCTTTGCTTCTTTGGCCGGTTTTCTTGTTCCTGCTTCCTCTTTTGGCTCCTTTTCTCGTGCAGTAGTCCTGGCTGGCGCCTTCCCGCAGGGAGGGTGTGCGGTTCGGCCAGCGTGTTATGCGCATGCGCCGTGGAGTTTGTTTTGGTCTGGGCGGTGTTTCAGTGCTGGGGTTTTGCGCCCTTTTTTGCTACAGTGCTTCGCCTCTCATTCTTCTCCCTGGCTGCGGTATGTGCCCCTTCGCGCCGGGGGTGTCCTGGTTCCCTGTTGTGGGGAGGACACCGCGGTTTTCCCTGTCATGGGTGTGGACCGCCTCCTTCGCCTCTCCCTGTTCTCCTGCAGGTCCGGCAGGGTCCGGCTCTGGCGTCTTCACCTGGCGGTGCTCTCAAGTTCTTCTGGGCACAGTTGAGTCGTGTCAAGTTCGTGCCACCATTCGCCAGGTGAGTTTCTGCAGTCTGGCGTCTTTTGGCCGGGCGCTGGATGCGGCGGTGTTTCTATACCTGTCTTTATTTAGGTATATTTTGTACGACTGAGACCGTTCGCACACCAGTGACTGTCCCTTATCACCCCTTCCTGTCCCCCCTCATGTGCATGTCCAACCCATGCTGGTGTCATTCAGGGGACCCTCCCTTTTTAATGTTGTGAGGTGTGGGGGTTGTAGGGTTGGTTCTGTACTCACCTGGTGAGGCTCCTGGCTGTGCTTGCAGGATTTGAGCTCTGGCTCTTGGGTCCCGCCTATCTGGTAGAACTTGCGGGATAGTACCAGTGGAGTGCAGTGGTGCTATTGGCACTTTTGGGGGACACTGTATTACCATCAGTGGTCTGTGCTTGTTACACGACCTACTTGCGAGCATAAGCCTTCTTGCTGGTTCGTCCGTGGCCTTCCAGGGCGCACTGGCCTGTTTTCGTATGGCAGTTCCGGCCCGTCCTGGTTGTGGGGGTATGTGGGCCGGTGGACTGCTCCTAGCAGCTGCCTGGTGGGCCATCCTCTGGCCGGTCTGGCCTAGCCTTGGACCGGGCTTCAGGTGTAAAAGAGCTCCCAGTACCTCATCCAGCAGGTATCGAGCAGGGTTTCTCCGCCGTTGGTCGCCTGGTGCAGGTTTCTGGGCCTGCAAGGTTTTTGTAGTGTCTCCGTTGGCCCTGTCTGGGGTCTGCCTGCTCCGTTCTCTGCCTTTGCAGAGGGGAGTTGCTATTTACATGTTGCTGCTGCTGCTGCACGTGTGCATTGGTACCGTGTTTCACGGTGGCGTGTCCTTGTTCCTGTGTCCGGTTGTGGAGTGGCACTTTGCTGCCGTTTTGTGCCTGGGGATTGCGTGCGGTTTTTGTCCCTGCCTGATTGTCCACCCCTGGTTGTTCTCCTGGGTTTTTTTTTTTTGTGCTTCTGCTCTTTCTTCCTGCCTCCTCTGCAGCGGGGATGTTCTGCGTGTATTCTTAGGCGTTGGTCAGCCTGTGTCCTGTGATGTGCTTATTTGTCTCGGTCTATTGCAGTTGTTCGTGCCCCTTGGTTCGGGTCCTGTTCTGGCGGCGACCCTTCCGCCTTCTTTGGTTTTCCTGCCCTGCCGGTTGGTTTTTTTTTTTTTTTGGGGGGGGGGGGTTCTTGCAATGTCTCGCGTCGGACCCGTCGTTTCTGAACTCCTGGCGGGCTTGCATGCTTTGGGGAGTTTTTCTGTTTGGCAGACGTTCCATCTCCTTGTGCCGCCTGGGTTTCGGTGGTCGCGCCCGAGATCTTCTCGCGGCTCCGCCTTTTTCCTGGGCTCGGGGGGGGGGCCTTGTCAGGGCTGCTTATGTTCTGCCTTGTGGTCTTGCCTCCGGTTGGTGGTCGGGTGGCTTCGTGGTAGGTGTCCCACCTGCGTGCTTCTCTTGGCGGCAGTATGGGGTATTTTGGCGGTCCTTCCTTTTCCTGTCCCTTCTTAGGTGGTTCCTCTTGTTGGCTTGGTTTACTCTCGGCTTGGTTTTCTAGTGGGGGTTGGGGGCCGTCGTCTTGCCACATACTGTCGCCTCTTTTCGTGCGGCGCAGGCGGAGCCGCTTCAGCTTGCTTTCGGTCTTGGTGTTGCTTCTGCACCGTTAGTCAGCTGTCTTGTGCGTCGTTTCACCTCCGGCCTGTTCGTGCGCCGCTTGCACCATCCTGGTCTCTGGTCAGCGTGCTCTGTCTTCTCCTCGGTTGGTAGTGCCCCTTCGGTTCCGGTGTGTTTTTTCGTCGGCTCTTTCCTTTGGGCCTTTGCCTCTGGGGGTCGGTTCGCTGAGTTTTCTTGCTCCTTTGGTTTTAGCGTTTTGGTTGTTTGATGGCAGCAGTCTCCATCTTTTCTGGCGCGGGGTGGGGCTGCTGCATTCTGGAGGGGTCCAGGGTTTGTTGGTGCTTCGTTGGTCGGGCCGGGGGTGTCGTTTGTGTGTTCAGTGGCGGCCCTCCGCTGTTGTTTGCGTGCCACGGCGTTTGGGCCCGGAGCGCGTTTTGCGTTGATCCGGTTCTGTTCTTCCCGGTTCGCGGGTGATGGTGTCCCAGGTGGTCAGCCGTGTTCTTGTGGCTAAGCTGCCTGTGTTCTTCCCTCATGCCTGTGGCGTTCGTGGCTTCGCTGCTCTCGCTGCCATCTGGGCGACGTGGCCTTGCAGTCTTCGGGCATGGATTTTTGGTGTTCGTGCAGGGGCCTTGCTGCTCGTGGTTCTCGTGTTGTTCCCAGGATTTTCGGGGCTGTGGCGCCTTGGTTTGGCATTTGCTGCCAGTTGTCTCGCCTCCTTGGGGGGTGCGTGGTGTCCGCCTCCCGGTTTTGTCCCTTTGACCTTCCTCTGTGGGTAGTTAGCTCCGGGGAGCCGACGGGGCTCCCCCCAGAAAACCAGCGTTGAATGTAATGAAACGCCATTTTCTGGGTGAGACCCGGAGGCTCCCCGGCAACCCTCCCTCCCTCCGGTCGGCGTTTTTCGCGTGTTTTGACATCCAGCCTCAGAACTGGTGGGTGGATAGCCGGCGTGGGAGGTCTGGGGCTCCCCCTTCCCCCTCCTGGGGAGGGGGGAGCTGCGCAGACAGCGGCGCGGTGACGTATGACGTCATACTAGTTTCCTTGTTTTCTGTTGAAGAGTTCTATCCACTAGTTCGGCTTAGGTAGCAATTTTCACCAGAATAGGGGTTTGTTTTGGAATGCTTACCTTTCTGGATGCTTGACCCGGTCGATGGCAGACATAGAATGCTTCCAACCACACGGGGGTTTCTATAGGCCATTGCTCCCCTTGCCTCTCTGAGGGGGCCAGGTTCTGGCTCGTGGTCCCCGGTAGGCCCTAGAACTCCATACACATGACTGATGCCAAAGTCTGACATTAGCATATCAGCCGGTAAAGCTCCGGGGAGCCTCCGGGTCTCACCCAGAAAATGGCGTTTCATTACATTCAACGCTGGTTTTTTTCAACAAAACTTTGCTGTTCTTCCCATACCTCACACATTTTCTTAATGTGGAAGGGACATCCTCTACTGCGTCTACTCACAACTATTTTCTTAGGTTGAACCTTACCACTGACTTTCTTGGGACCCATGGCATGATATATAATAATCAGTTTTATGTTCAAAAAGTAAAAAATCACCAAAAAAACATAATTTTTTATAACAGTGATCGTCACTAAGAGGGCGGCTCTAATAAACTGAGGCAGGTCGGCTCGCGTGACAGGGAACCATGGGCTCGGTCGGCTCGAACGTGTATCAACGAAAATTGTTAGTCGACGATACTATCGTAAGTTGAGTCGCATTTTCTGATCAAATTTATATCGTAACTCGAAATTATCATAAGTTGAGGCTATCGTAAGGTGAGGTGCCACTGTATATGATAAAGGCACAACAAAATTTATACCAAACCAGAGATGCAGAACTAGGAAACAGGATTGGTTCAACAGAAATTGCGAGAGAGCCAGAGACCAAAAGACAAAAATGGAATCAATATAGGAAGAGGTCAAACCCCCTAACATACCAGCAATACAAAGATGTGAGAAACAACTACATGGCAGTGAGGAGAGAGGCAGAAAGAAATTTGGAAAAAGGGATTACAGACAAATGTAAAACAGAACCAGGTCTATTCTATAAATTCATAAACAACAAATTGCAGGTAAAGGATAATATTCAGAGGTTGAAAATGGGAAACAGATTCATGGAAAATGAAAAGGAAATGTGTGAAACATTAAACGAAAAGTTCCAAAGTCTGTTTATACAAAATAAAATCTTCAGGGACCCAGATACAATAAGAATTCCAGAGAACAACATAGAGCACATAGAGGTGTCTAGGGACAAAGTGGAAAAAATGCACAAGGATCTAAAGAAGAACAAAGCCATTTGCCCAGATGGAGTTTCACCATGGGTTCTGAGAGAATGTACATCTGAGCTCAGCATTCCACTTCACCTGATTTTTCAGGCATCCCTGTGTACAGGAGTTGTAGCAGATGCGTGGAAAAAGGCTAACATACTTCCAATCTACAGAAGTGGTGGCAGGGAAGACCCCCCTCAATTATAGACCTGTATCATCTGACAAGTGTAATAGTCAAAATATTGGAAAAAATATTTAAAACTAAATGGGTAGAACACCTGGAGACAGACGATATAATATCAGATTGTCAGTATAGCTTTCGATCTGGAAGATCCTGTGTACTGTAACAAATTTACTCAGTTTCTATGATCGAACCACAGATTTTACAGGGAAGGGATGGTTGGGTTGACTGTATCTATGTGGACCTAAAAAAAGGCTTTCGACAGAGTTCCACATAAAAGGTTGTTCTGGAAACTGGAACACATTGGAGGGGTGACAGATAAGCTGCTAGCATGAATGAAAAATTTTCTGACTGATAGAAAAATTAGGGCAGTAATAAGAGGAAGTGTATCGGACTGGAGAAATGTCACAAGTGGAGTACTACAGGGGTTCAGTTCTTGTACCGGTAATGTTCATTATCTACATAAATGTTCTTCCAGATGGAATACATAATTATATGAACATGTTTGCTGATGGTGCTAAGATAATAGGGAAGATAAGAAACCTAGATGATTGTCTTGCCCTTCAAGAAGACCTGAAAATAAGTATATAGAGCACCACTTGGTAAATGGAATTTAATGTAAATAAATGCCGTCTTATGGTATGTGGAATAGGAGAACATAGACCCCTCACAACCTATAAATTATGTGAGAAATCTTTAAAGAAGTCTGATAAAGAAAGAGATCTAGGCATGGTTCTAGATAGAAAACTATCACCTGAGGATCACATTAAGAATATTGTGCGATGGGCCTGTGCTACACTCTCTATCTTCAGAATTGCTTTTAAATACATGGATGGCAAAATACTAAAGCAATTGTTCACCACATTTGTTAGACCAAAGCTGGAATATGCAGCTGTTGTATAATGTCCATATCTAAAGAAGCACATCAACAAACTGGAAAACGTGCAAAGACATGCTACTAAGTGGCTCCCAGAACTGAAGGGCAAGAGCTACGAGGAGAGGTTAGAGGCATTAAATATGCCAAAACTTGAAGACAGACGAAAAAGAGGTGATGTGATCACTATGTACAAAATAGTAACAGGAATTGATAAAATTGATAGGGAAGATTTCCTGAAACCTGGAACTTTAAGAACAAGAGGTCATAGATTTAAACTAACTAAACACAGATGCCGAAGAAATATAAGAAAATTCACTTTCGTAAACAAAGTGGTAGACGGTTGGAACAAGTTAGGTGAGAAGGTGGTGGAGGCCAAGTCCGTCAGTAGTTTCAAAGCGTTATATGACAGAGTGCTGGGAAGACGGGACACCACAAGCATACCTCTCATCCTGTAACTACACTCAAGAAATTACACTTAGGTAATTATGACTTGGGTAGCTCTCATCCTGTAACTACTGTTAGGTAATTATACACACACATACACGTTGTACTGAACGGGGTGACATTAGCTTGAGCTACCTCATCCCATTGTGTATTTATACCTCAATAAACTTTTTTCAATCTCAATTTCAATTTTGTTTCTACTTACAGTACTGTATTGCCCAATTTGATTTTGCCGATATATTTTTCCAATGCAGCACATAGCTTGGACACAGAAGAGTACCTATATCAAGTATGTTCCACCTCCACTTCCCGAAGAAGGTTTTCTTCCTGCTGGTGCTCGTGAATCATGGTTAGAACAGATGGAGTTTTTAGAACAAGATTTACGAAATCTACTTAGTTTGCCTCATCACAAGTGAGTTATGGACATTTATTTACTCTATTTTTAAAGAAAAAGTGAACACTTTTTAAATATTGTATCAAATTAATTACTGGACTGTGTTTTTATGTTCACCATGCACTATATCCTTTCAGTTTTTTTTTTTACCAAACTTTTTTATTACAACTTCTTACCATATTTATAAAACTTTTAGCACTTACTGCTACCATTTATTTTTTAATTCCAGTATACTTTTCTATTCTGTTTGTAAATGTAGCTACCCCAGCTACATTATACTGTGTTCTCAGGCATTTGGGATGGATGAGGTGCACCATGCCTCACTTGTTTAAATGTTTCCCATCTGGGGCATTTGGGGGTTTCTCACTCAGTTTTCTGCTTTCTGAGGGGAAGTCCTCTCATACCAGAATCATCATCTGTGAATGCTGCTGCTGCTGTGTGCGTGTGCACTTCTGGGCAGTTTTTCTGGCAGCTTTGGGTCAATGTGTGATACTGCAGCTTCCTTGCCTTATACAGAGTTGAGCTAGATTCTGGTCCTGGCTCCCAGTAGGGTTGGGCGGATTGCAGAGATCTCGTGCCATTTCCTAAGTTATGGAAGTTCCAGTGTTACAGCTTGTGTACCTACTGAGTAACCCACCAAAAAAAAAAAAGTGTGTCCTTACATTCAATGCTTATTTTTTATTGTCTAAAAAACCTAAAAAACATTTTCAATGATTTTTCATGGAATGATCATGGAGGAAAATGGTGAGTTGTGAGGAAAATCAATAAGTTAGAATTTTACATTTGAGCCATAGACTAAATATAAAATAATTTTGTAGGAATTTGCACAGCCTGTGAAATCATCAACAGGTTCATGGGTTAGATGGGATCAAACTCCCTCTGAGCACAGTGCATGTAACAGGGAGTCTGGAGCCTTGGTCAGGATTTAAATTGGTTGTCAGCACGTCATCTGGCAGTGAGTGTGTTTCCTTAGTAATGTCAAGTATGTCATGTTTGTGGTATGAATGTTGGCTTGTTATATGTGGTAAACATGTGCTTCACCATTATATACCTCACTCTTTAAGTTCTGCTTTCTTACGGTCAAGTTCATGTTTGTGGTGAAGTTTGAGTGGCCGGTGATGAGGTGATGTTGGAACACGTAGAGCTTATGATGTTTGCTGGATGGGTGATTCCCTCGGTCAAAAGGATATGGGGAATTATTTCTCGAAGTAGGTTGGTTGATCAGACCACCAACCGGGAGATCTGGTCAGAGATCGGGCCTCTGGGCCGTTGATCCCCGGAACCTCCACAAGGAAGGTAGGTATGGACATCAAGCTAGGAAGAAGATTGCAATTATTGTGACAATAGACTTGAACGTTGCTTTGAACATTTCTTCCATTTACAATATATCTTACTAAGAATAGTATTTTGTAGGTCCCAGAGTTCACACTCGTTGAAACATTGTTAAATCCCAGCTGTCCGAAATACTATGCGTGTTAGTGTCTTTGCAAGAATGTAAATGTAGTCATACTTTATATTATTATACAGTATACTGTATGTATAAAATTGGTAAAAAACAAAAAAATACTCTTCCCAGGTCCCACCCAATCTCCAAAGAAACAATACAGTACTTTGTGGTTATTGGTTTTACAGTATTTGTTAGGATAATATTTATTGTGAACACTTGTGGTATTTTGTTACTTGACCCTTATTATCTATTAGAAAATAGAGACATGAAAAAAAAGATTTTTTTGTAATGCTAAATTTTCTTATAAATCTGTTGTAATTGCACAGCTAGAAAGATAGTGTTTTTATTTTAGATATGTAATAAAACCCTGGAATTTAAACTTGTTTTAGGCAGAATTTTGATCCTTGGTAGGACTTGGGCCAAAATAAATCATATTGCATCCAAAGTGTTAAGGAACCCCATCCCATTGAAACAGACAACAATGAGTTTGACTTTGTAGTATTGTACTAGGCATTCAAAACACTGTTGGAATCTAATTCAGCCCTAAACTTTCAGATTCTGGTCTCAAATGGTGTATGACCCAGCAGTCCATGAATGTTTGGAATCATATATCACCAACAGTTACAGATGGTACGATGGTGATATATTGGAAGATTACTCCAGGCCTCTTGTTGAGACTCTACATCATCTGGTGTTTTTAATATATGTTCGTATGGCAACTTACAAAGAGTCTAAGGTACGCCCTCGGTATTTATTAGCAGGTTCGTCACGCTGTTGTGATATCATCGTGCAGTCTGATGTATTTAGCTGCTTAGAGCATGATCGTGTTTATAATGATTGATGTCTGCATATAGTGGGTTGTTTTTATTTTCAGTAGGTTTTATAATGTGAGAAATATATGTTAGATTTTTAACTCATCATGTTTTCTTTCTTTTTCAGACATGTCATATAACTCCATCAATATTTGGAGATATTATTTATGAGCACTTCATGTTTGACATATGCAAGCTGCTAGATCTGTGTATGTTGTTTGGTCCTGCCAATGGCCAGTTATTGGCTAAAATGATAAATAATATTTTCACTCGGCAACCCAAATATTATGAGGATCTTTCACAAGCAGTGTCTTCCATATGCATGGTAAGCTTTAAAGTTGTGTTTTTAAATGTAAGTTTTATATATACAGTGGTACCTCGGAATACGAGTGTCCCTGTAAACGAGTTTTTCGGAATACGAACAGGATTTGCTCGGAAAATTTGCCTCGGAAGGCGAGGGTTGCCTCGGAACACGAGTTTGTTGATACACGTACAGGCCGACTAGCGTGTGGTGGTTCGGCGATCGCACCTCAGTTTACCAGTGTCTCGCGCCCAGTAACTATCCCGCCTGAATTCTTCACAAGGATTTACAGTTTTTTGTCGGATATTTGGCCATTTGAGCATAAAAGTTGTTATTATATATCTCGCTATAGGTCTCAAGAAAGCCATTGGTAAGGTTAACACGTTGGATGACTCCTCCTCCTTTGGGGGGGGGAGGGTTTGGGGCTGGTGGGGCAGGCCTCTTCTCCTGCGCTGTCGAGTCGTCTTGGAGTGGGTTTGCTTGGGCGTGGTCGAAACGGCCTTGTCTCTTAGGTAGGTTTCTCGATCGTTTCCAATCCCAAAACGGGATGGTGCGGACCTCCGGTTCATTCTGGACTTGTTCCGTCTGAACCCGTGGGTTTATTGCCCTCCTTTCGGATGACTACTCTGTCCCAGGTCTGTCTTCTTTCAGAGCCGGGCACTTGGAGGGTGTCCCTGAACCTCAAGGACGTGTATTGGCACGTCTCGATTCATCCGGAGTTCAGGAACTGGCTCGGTTTTGTTGTGGGGCATCAAGGTTACTGCTTTCGTTGCCATCCATTGGCCGTGATAGTCTACCCACCGGGTCAGGTGTGGCTTTGTCGGCTGTTCTGGTTCCTTCAGGGACATTCCTTCCGCCTCTCTCAGGACTGCTGGGTTCGACCTCCGGGGTCTTTGCGTCGGTTGCTATGACGCCGGTTTCCTCTTTGGGTTTTTCGGGGTTCAGTGCCTTGGTGCCTCCCCGAGCCCTCGCTCGATGTGTTCACGGACGTATCATCTCTTGGCTGGGGCTTTGTGACCAGTGCTGACCAGGTCAGCCAGGGATGGTGGGGTCCGTCCTTCCGTCAGGCTCACAGCACGGTGCGGGAGTTCGCAGCTGTATGGATGTCACTCAGGAGGATTTGGGTCGCTCGTGGATCGATGATCCGGCTCCATTCGGATTGCTCCCTGGTGCTTCATTGTCTGAAGCAAGGGGATTCCATGCGGCCCTTGGCTCTTTGGGGCTGGTCACTTCGAGTGACTTGTCTGCTGAGTTCTCAGGGTTTGGCTCTCCTGGTGCTTCACGTTCGGGGAGGGGGGGTGGTGCCCACTGTCCTGGCGGAGGGCCTGTCGTTCAGCCGACACGTTCAGTTGGCTCTGCCAGACGTTCAGGCGTCCGGAAGTGGATCTCTTCACGTCGGCGTGGTCGAGGCGTCTCCCAGTATACGTAGCGCCCTTTCCCGACTGCGAGGCCATTGGGGTATATGCCTTCAGGTAGGACTGGATGAGGTGAGGGTTAGCTGTACCTCTTTCCTCAAGTTCAGCTGTAGCTCCAGGTCCTGGCTCGTTTGGAGACTGACCAGGGACGAGTTGTCCTTCTGGCTTCCTTGGTGGCTGGCCCAGCCTTGGTTTCAGGCGCTGCTTGCTCGGCGTCCGAACTCGAGGGTCTTTCCGCGGCTCCGCCTCTTCCAGCAGATCGGTCCAGCCCAGTACGATGCTGGTTCGCTCTTCTCCTTGAGTCTTCACGTCTGGAGTTTGTGACTCTGGTCTACCATCACTTGTTTGGGGCGCAGGTGGCTTCGTTGCTGGTCTCCCACCTGCGTGCTTTGTCTCGGCAGCAGTATGAAGTTTCCCCAGGCCCATGCCACAAAACATGTGACGCCTTGTTGGCCACACTATGATGGGTATCTTCACTAATTGTCCTGTCACATATAATAAGGAAAGGAGGTACAGCAGTGATAACTTTTGGTATTATGCTTTATATAGTCCCTCCTGAGTATTCAATACAGTATATGCTGTTAACAGTACCAAGAGTAGAGAGATGCTTAGTTTGCTTCATCTATTTCACCCTTTTTAATATAATTTAAGTAGTGTTAATAGATAATTACAATACTGTTGTATATTAATTTTGTCTTTTTCTTCTGCAGGCTTTAGAGAAGGTTGAAGATAAGCTGGGTGTGGCCGAGTATTATGTTCCTGTAGCTCTTGGAGCACCGATTGAAAATTTGTCAATATCAGACCTTCATGATATGATCATTTACTTAATAGATACATTCTCCTCTATACAAATGCTTATCACAATCCATCCACCCGCAGCTAAATATTTTCATGATGTGGGATTTGAGCTAAGGTGAGTGGAGTTTCTGAATGAAGATGTATATTGGTTCTTGTTTGATTATTGATTAGAATTTGCTTGTGACTGGAGAGAATACAAACTGTCGTAGCTTCAAGGGTTTTATTGTGTTATCTTGAGGTTATCTTGAGATGATTTCGGGGCTTTTTTTTAGTGTCCCCGCGGCCCGGTCCTCGACCAGGCCTCCACCCCCAGGAAGCAGCCCGTGACAGCTGACTAACACCCAGGTACCTATTTACTGCTAGGTAACAGGGGCATAGGGTGAAAGAAACTCTGGCCATTGTTTCTCGCCGGCGCCTGGGATCGAACCCAGGACCACAGGATCACAAGTCCCGCGTGCTGTCCGCTCGGCCGACCGGCTCCAAAGGTAGGAAGAAGGTAGAAGGTAGTAATATAAGGTCGAGCACAACTGAGGTCCACCCTGCCTTAGGTCTGTGAGATTACTGACGGCCTAGTTCACAGTGCTTCAGTAAGGCTGTGCAATAATTAAAATTTAAGTACAAAATTCGGAAAAGGTGATACGAGGAAGTTGTTAAGAGACTTATTGATATAATTCTTGGGCTGTAATTTTTGAGTTTAAAACATCTGCCACAGTATATATCTGGAAGCTACCTCCCATGTGCAGCATTATTTTTTAAGGTGGGGTAGCCCCATGGTTGCTCCCTGTAGCTATCGGCCTGAGATTACTTCATACTACAAGTCATATCAGTTGCACAGTTGCAGGAGTTCTGTTTGGCCTGCTAGATACCAGAGCCAGAACATGGAACCCCCCCCCCCCCCCCCCCCTTCCTTACAGAGGCACAGAAAGTATTCACCAGGATAAGCATTCAGGAAGTCTCTGAAGCTTTTCAGATTGCTGGGTTCATAAGACTCGAAGCCTCAAAACTGCCAAACAACTCCCCCAAACAATTCAATCAAAATAAAATGATTCATGATTTACCTTCGGCAAGAGTAGCCTCAACAGAAAAACAAAAAGGCATTCAACAAACAAAGCCTCACAAGAAAGCCAAGGGCCTTCAACCAGCTGAACCTCAGCAGAAAGCCAAGGGCCTTGAACCAGCTGAACCTCAGCAGAAAGCCAAGGGCCTTCAACCAACTGAACCTCAGCAGAAAGCCAAGGGCCTTGAACCAGCTGAACCTCAGCAGAAAGCCAAGGGCCTTCAACCAACTGAACCTCAGCAGAAAGCCAAGGGCCTTGATCCAGCTGAATCTCAGCAGAAAGCCATGGGCCTTGAACCAGCTGAACCTCAGCAGAAAGCCAAGGGCCTTGAACCAGCTGAACCTCAGCAGAAAGCCAAGGGCCTTGAACCAGCTGAACCTCAGCAGAAAGCCAAGGGCCTTGAACCAGCTGAACCTCAGCAGAAAGCCAAGGGTTTTCAACCAGTGAACCCTCGCCAGGAAGCCACAGTCCTTCAACCGACTGAACCTCACCAGAAAACCAAAAGGCCTTCAACCTGAGGGACCTGACAGCTGAGTGGACAGTGCTGAGGATTCGTAGTCCTGAGGTTCCGGGTTCGATTCCCGGTGGAAGCGGAAACAAGTGGGCAGAGTTTCTTTTCACCCTGATGCTCCTGTTCACCTAGTAGTAAATAGATACCTGAGAATTAGACAGCTGCTACAGGCTGCTTCCTGGGGATGTGTAACAAAAAGGAGGCCTGGTCGAGGACCGGCCGCAGGGACGCTTAGCCCCGAAATCATCTCTAAATAATCTCAAGATAACCTAACCAGTGAGGTCTCACCAGCTGCCAGTCAAAACTGACATTGCCAAGATCATGTACAGTAATTTTGGGGTTGAATTAGGTAGGTTAGATTAGGTAAGTGCCTAACTAGTAAGGTAAATATAAAATTAGGTAAATGAAAATTAGGTAAATATTGAAGCCCTTCATCAAGCAAGCTAATGAAACCCCAACAAGGCAAGTTGAAATTTCTGTTACAGTATGGTATTGTCAATACAGTAAATGATTTGATTACTCTAAATGTATATAGATCCTATCCAAGTCATGTAAATTTATGTTTATTGCATGTGGAAATATAAATTATGTTGGTTTTGGTATTAAAATTACAATTAGGGAGTATGTTCATCTTTGGACTTTTGCATTAAAAAATGAACATTGATGTAATGATATGCCTCATACTGGATGAGTCCCAGTGGTTCCTTGAAGTTATCTCACTGATTGTTCCATGCAGTTGTGTTAAATTAGGTACAAAGTTCTGCTTGGCCAACGGGGAGCCGAGCCGAGCCAAGCCAATGTAACACGGGGGGGATTCGTTCTGTACTTTTCGTTCTCTCTACCCCTCTCTGTACCCGTATTCTACCTTATTTCTCTACCAAGGGACCCCAAAACTTCTACTTGAGTCGACCACACGCCTCGTGGTCTTAAGACGATTGACCGACTTAAGATTCTACAACCTTATAACGTGGAAACTGACTTCTAGCAAAACCCTAGGATTGCCTTGTGCTGCCACCACCAGACCAGTAACACTGAGCAATGACCGAGGTCTGGATCGATCATGCTAATCAATAAACCTTGGGGCTTGATCCCCACTAGTACTCATCTCTGTTGCACCCAGATTGGTTGAATTATTTTAACTGAAGTTAATTACACAAGCATCTAGGGAAGAGCTATTTCCGTTTACAAAATTGCTATTTGACCTTTGAGAAAATACCAAAAATATGGAGCTTTGGTGACCTTCATGACCTAAGGTCACCCAAATCCTTCCGCCTCCAAGTCTAGTCCCGCTAGTGACGTCACTGATGGTGACTTAACTCTTTATCCTGACAATCAGGATACTCTTGATACTATAACCAGGAATATTATACAATTTGAATGAAGACTAATTTCTCTAAATTACTGAATACTATAGAATGATTCATTATACGTTGCTATGAGACAAAGGGCGCCAGCCATTTTGTGACCCCGACTGCTAATTTCCCAGAGGGATGCGCCTTGTGCTCCAGAGTCAGGTCACTACCACGTGACTCCAATCTTCCCAAACTCCCATGTCTGAGAGAACAATACTGGATAATTCCTACAACAAACCTAGTTTGTTACAACCCCCCCGCACAAGCAACTTAGTAAACCTTGTTAATTTGTTCAAACTAACAAGGTTTAATATCCAAACCCACAATAAACTCGACTCATGCCTCAACAAAAGCTAACCTAACTAAAAAAATTTGACAATCATCAGATTGTCCAACAACATCATAATAAACATGTTCAAATTCATAAATGTGTCGGTTGTCGACTGACAGCAATCCTCCACCACCAGGAACCATACATCCTACACTTACTGACATAGCTAAATAACATGTCCCTACTCTAACAGCAAAGACTAGCTATTAAAATCTCTTGGCTCTTCACTAGCCAGCCTCATGTGTCCTCTAGAGCCGGACACACCGTGCTAAAACATAAAAGTTATATCTACCGACTGAATTTTCAGTCATCCGGGAGCGTACCACTGTGGGACTCTGGTCTTTGTTAACCCCCCAATTTTCTGTAGAGTTTTGCTGACTTTCTGGATGCTTTCCCAATGTGGTGGCAAATTGTCACTTGTCCTTTGCACCTCTGTGAGGGGAAAGCTTTGGTGCCCAGCAGGCCAAACCAAACTTGTGCTTATGAAGTGACCCAATTGCAAGTAGCAATCTCGGTGAGATAGCTGCGGTGAGCTCCCTCCTGAAAAGTCAGCTAACACACAAGTCCAGCTAACTTGTAGGGAAATGGGCTCCATACCATTTGAATTGGCGAGTGTAAACTATTGTTAGCTGGTCTCTCGGTGGTCTCCTTTCTTAAAATACATGTACACAGTAAGACTTTCTAAAAAAATTTGATTCTTTTATTTTCTTGCAGAATGGCATCTTGTTATGAAAGAGTCATTCCTGCTCTAATAGATAATGTGAATGAATGCTGCAATGACCCAGAGTGGAGTCCTAAGATTGCAGAAAAAATACAGTTGACCAGATCTTCAATTCTCATGGCGTTTAGAGCCATCCTTCACCACAAATGCCTTGCACCTCTATCGGTTGAATGGTAAGTTACACTAAATATTTTAATTTAAATAAATAAGCTTCATTAACTGTTTGCAACCATTAATTGTTAGGATCATTAAAAACAATTATTGTTAAAGTATTTTGTTTATTTCAGTATAATTTTCTTAATGACTGCACTGCACATAGTACCTTAACCCTTGAACATATGTTTGCTAGTACTGTACAGTATATCATGAGATTCAGAACTCCTGCGGGTGCATGGGGGCTCACATCCTGTGCCTCAGGACTCCAATAAACATATGCCATCTTGAAAAAAAAAATCATCCGCATCTCTCCTGGCTATGAGAGCTCAGTACTGTGAGCTCTCATAGCCACTATGAGTACTGAGTACTCAGTACTCAGAGCGACCAAGGCTAGTGCATGCAGCAGGAGCTCACAGCACCGCTCTGCACCACTGTCGGGGGCTGCCCCAAATACATTTTTACATTTTTTAACTTTTATTATTACAAAAATTAACTTTTCTGACACCTCTTGCTTAAAACTCCTAAAGTCAAAAGGATCGATAGGCCTTGCTTTCGCAGTCCGTATTCGTACTGAAAATCAGGATCAAGCCAGCATTTGTTTTGTTTTTCAATGGTTTTATATCTAGTTTTCTGTGGTGAGCCCCGTCGGCTCCCTGAAGGTATCCGAACTGATATGTGCTATATATTAGTTTTGGGTCATCAGTCACAGAAGTCCTTATGCTTAATGGGGACCAAGCACCAGAACCTGGTCTCCTCGGAGAGGCACAGGGAGCTATGGCTTATGAGCACATTACGTTTAAAGTATGTAAGTCATAATTGCCATCGACCGGAGAAGGACCCAGAAAGGTAGACGAATCAAAACAGACCACTGTTTAGTTAACCTGTGCAACCTACATCCTAAAAGATAAAAATAACTCCCCTCTAGAAAGAAACCAAACAAGCAACCCTTCATGCAACTAGCACTCCCGATCGTTAGCGCTACTTTCCCCCCCCCCACCCGGTGCTCTTTAGGGGGTAAAGAGATAAGGAGCTGGCTACTCATTTTGTGGTAACTTTGCAATGATTTTTGGGCTCAACATCTGTGACCCCGGTCCCCCAACCAGGCCCTAAACTGTTGGCTCACTGGAGGCGGCAGCGCACCACTCCAGTTCTTGAACTAATGTCCTGGTGGTCGAACCGGTCACCTCTGGTCTCAAGTTCCTGTTCTGGATTTTTGCCCTGTGTGGCTGTTCCAGCTGTTGTGTGTGGTGTACTCACCTAGTTGTGCTTGAGGGGGTTGATCTCTGGCTCTTTGGTCCCACCTCTCAACTGTCAATCAACTAGTGTACAGTTTCCTGAGCCTATTGGGCTCTATTGTATCTACATTTGAAACCGTGTATGGAGTCTGCCTCCACCACATTACTGCCATCTCTTAACTACTCTGACACTGAAAATGTTTTTCTAACGTCCCTGTGGCTCATTTGGGTACTCAGTTTCCATCTGTGCCTCCTTGTTCGCGTACCACCCGTGTTAAACAGTTTATCTTTATCTACCCTGTCAATTCTTCTGAGAATTTTGTAGGTAGTGATCATGTCTCTCCTTACTCTTCTGTCTTCTAGTGTTGTGAGGTGCATTTCACACAACCTTTCCTCGTAACTCATGCCTCTTAGTTCTGGGACTAGCCTAGTGGCATGCCTTTGAACTTTTTCACGCTTCGTCTTGTGCTTGACAAGGTACGGGCTCCATGCTGAGGCTGCATACTCCAGGATTGGTTTTACATATATGGCATATAAGGTTCTGAATGGTTCCTTGCACAGATTCCTGAAGGCAGGAATCTGTGCAAGGAATCCTGCCTTCATTGATGGGGTCCCACCTGTGGGCTTCTCAGTGAGAGTGTGAGGTTTCCTGACGTTCTTTCCACCATTTTCTTTCTCTGCGTAGGTTCCTGTCGAACAGAACACAAAGAGTAACAGTCAATCAGATAAAACCGAGTCCAAGCGATGTTAAAAGCTCTGTACCTCAAGGTATACAGTCCTTGCACCGCTACTGTTCCTTATTCTCATATCTGATATAGACAAAAATACACGTCACAGCTTCGTGTCGTCCTTTGCAGATGACACAAAAATCAGCATGAAAATTACCTCTGCTGAAGACATTGAAAAACTACAAGCAGATGTCAACAAAGTTTTCGATTGGGCAGCAGAAAATAACATGATGTTTAACAGTGATAAATTTCAGGTACTCAGGTACGGCAAAAATGAGGATCTGAAACATAATACAGGGTACAAAACACAATCGAATCTTCCCATAGTAGAAAAACAGCATGTCAAGGATTTGGGAATAATGATGTCCGACGATCTAACGTTTAGGGAGCATAACCAAGCAATACAGAAAAATGATCGGATGGATTACGAGAACTTTCAAATCCAGGGATCCCATCACAATGGTTGTACTCTTCAAGTCACTTGTGTTGTCCCGTCTTGAGTACTGCTCAGTACTCACTTCCCCCTTCAGAGCAGGAGAGATTGCTGAAATAGAGGGAATACAGAGAACATATACAGCACGCATAGACAAGATAAAACACCTAAATTATTGGGATCGTCTCAAAGCTCTCCAAATGTACTCAACACACAGGTTTGAACCCTCAACAAGGCCCTTGTGGATTTGTTCATTTGATATACAGTATCACATTATTGGGATTTCTGTGTGTATTGTTATTTGTTTTCATTTTGTTATTTTGTATTGTCAGGCAATTTTTGGTATTTAGGAATATACAGTGGAGTATATATATACAATATTTTATTATTGCAAATGATAGAACAGTAAAGTAATCAAGATTTATTTTGAGGTTAGGTCAAATTGATTCTGAAGATTAATCTCTCTGTGGCCCCGTCTCTGGTTGGGTTTCTTGGTTGATGATTTGGTGAACCAGACTGTTAGACACTGCTGCATGCAGTCTGACATATGAATCACTGTCTGGTTGGTTAAGTACCCTTTGGTGCCCTCTTGAATGTTGAATATCAAGTTCCCTCTTTCAGGGAACTTGATATTATCAAAGGATCTTGAATATCAAGTTTCAGAGCTTCAAGAAGCTCTGAAACACCACAGTTGAGACCAGTGTGAACTATCCTCACCAGAGGAGCCTAAAAGGAAGCAGTGGTGGTCATTATTTTCTGCTCCAAGAAGAGAGAGTTGAGGATAATTGCACCATACTGTACAGGTATATGTAGTGGTGGGCAGTTGAGTCTCCACATACTTAGATATGATGCTATAGTCTCAGTATTATGAGTATTATCTATAAGGAATAACAAGAAATTTTTTAGTTAGCTATTTTAATTTCCTTATTGATAGTGATGTGTTTCTGCTTCATCTGTTACTGTGATTATAGTTCACCTAAATTTCAGCCCTCCACCAGTGCTTGTCGGGGAGTGTGTTGAGAAATTTATGCAGGTGATGTCCACGTGTGTTGGAGACAAAACATTCATCACCGACTATTGTTCAACATATCCTATCACTAAGGACTTGGAATTTTTTCAGGTATAGATATACAGTTTATACGTTTTTGTAATGTAACGTTGACACACAATTGAGTTCACTATACCCTCAACCGCTACTCACTCGATCACATTGTGCACAGTCAAAAGGCAGTCAGCCTATTATATTCATTGAAGGCATAGGTCAAAATCCTATAATAACAATAATAATAATAATAATATCAAGAGTATAGTGATAATACAAGCTATTATAGCTACACACAGATGCTAACCTGATCATTACGTTATATTTCAGCAACATGGTGGAGACATAACGAGCCTAAGCTTCATCAAAGAGGCTGTTGACATGGTGCTTAAAGAGATGGGGCTGGCGTCTGGCATGACTAACCTCACTCTGAATGAGGTCCAACACACAGAAGTAAAGGAGGTATTATATCACAGAATTTATATACAATTTACAATAACAATTTATATACATTACTCCAATTACTGCTTGGTGAGCAGGGAAACTTAATTACAGATAATATAGGTGGTTTAAAAGTAATAAATTATTAATGCTTCAAGCCTTATCTCTTAATATATTATAAAGAATTTCATTATCTACTGCTGCTGCATCTTCGTGGTGAGAAGGTTTTTGTGTTTATTTGACATACAGGTAACTTGAATCACATCATTTTGTGTGTGGGTGTAGGTTAGTGCTGAATTATTTTAGCCATGTTATTGTAATTGTCTAAGTGTAGTTACAGGATGGGAGCTATGCTCGTGGTATCCGTCTTCCCGGTACTGTCTTAAAATGCCCTTTGAAACTAGTATCCATTTGATTTAATGACCTGTATTAGGTGATACCCAAGTCGTTAAATCTGGGGTTCTGCAAAATCTGCTGATATTAAAATGTTGGCAACTTTTTAGTCATATTCAGGAGGGCAACAGAATGGATGGTGGGTGGGCAGGATGGTTGGTTGGCTTGCTGGTTAGTTGATTGGTTAGCTGACTGGCAGGTTAGGTGGGTAGGGCAAATGGTGGGCAGACAGGTGGGCTTGATGAATGGATAGATAACTAGCAGGCAGGCAAGCAGGCAGAATGGCGGATTGGGTTGGTGGGCTAGCAGGCAGAATGGTGGGTTGGGTTGGTGGGCTGGCAGGCAGAATGGCGGGTTGGGTTGGTGGGCTGGCAGGCAGAATGGCGGGTTGGGTTGGTGGGCTGGCAGGCAGAAGGGCGGGTTGGGTTGGTGGGCTAGCAGGCAGAATGGCGGGTTGGGTTGGTGGGCTAGCAGGCAGAATGGCGGGTTGGGTTGGTGGGCTGGCAGGCAGGTGGGTGCTGGGCGGGCTGGATAGTTTGCTCAATAGCAGAAAGATGGGCTAGATAGCTGACATGAGTGGGCAGACATGTAGGTGAACGGGCAGGCAGGTGGATGAGTTTAGATGCAGGGGTGGATGGCAGGTAGGAAGATGGGAAGCCTTTGGACTGCTACTCTTCCTACCTATTGCATAATCCATGCACTCCCACCTTACCTTTTCCCTCCCTCCCCATCACTCAATCCTCTTCCTCCCTACCCAAGCCATTCTCTCCTCCCAGCTTTTTTTCATATGGGTTCCAACCATCCCACCAGTAGCCAGTATAAGAATGGTCAGGTAAAATGTTGTGAATCTCTTATTCTCTTTTCAACAACATCCACATGCCTCCCTACACTCCCACATCCACTTACACGCACGCACACTCACACCCTATATGCACCTACACATAAACACTATGTGCACCTTGTTCCAGGTATCCTTGTGCACAGGAATCTTAAGAGATATATGGAAAATGGCAAACATAGTACAGTACCAATCTATAAAAATGGTAGTTGAGAGGAACCTCTAAATTATAGACCCATTTCATTAACAAGAGTGGTAGTCAAAACACTAAAAAATACCCAAAAGCCAAATGAATTGAAGCCAAATAATGGACATAGTATGGTTTTCGAACATGAAGATCCTGTATAACAAATCTACTTAGCTTTTCTGTGGGGAACCCCTACGGCTCCCTGGAGCTTATCGGGCTAATGTATGTTATATTAGACCGGGACATTAGCTAAGGAGTTCAGACCTACCAGGAACCAGCGCCAGAATCTGGCCCCTTCAGAGAGGTTTCAGGGAGCAATGGCCCTGGAAAACCCCCTTGTGGTTGGGGTTTTCCTTATCTGCCATTGACCGGGGTTAGGCACCCAGAAAGGTAGGCATAACAAAACAAACCCCACATGGTAAAAAAACTAAAACAAAAAACCGAACAGAGAGATAGAAACTCCCTACAATCCCAAGGAAACAAGCAAACATCACACTTTACTGCCGCACCGATCGTCTGCGCAGCCCTTCCTGCCCCGAGAGGGGTAGGGGTTAGCCCCAGACCTCACCGCGCCGGCTGCCTAGCATCAGTTCGTAAGCTAATGTCAACCGGGATAGACGCTTCTCTGGCCTCAGTTTCCTTGGCGGTGTTTGCCTTGTGTGCCATTCACTGCCGTGTGTTGTGTTGTGCGGTGGCCAGGTGTTCATCAGTACCAGGGCTGCATGCGCTAGGGGCTTCCTACCCTTAGTGCCCTGTGAGTACTGCCACTGTGTGACAGGGTTATCTTTCCAGGAGCGTTCGGGAACCATTCCCGTAGAGGTTCTTGCTGCTTGGCATTTGCCTCGCCGTTGGGTCCAGCTGGGGCTTGGGGCCTTTGTTTGGCCCTGGGTAGGGATTGGTATTGTGCTGGTTAGGGGGTCAAGGTGTTGCGCGACCCGCCACATAAGTGGTGACAGATTCCTGTTGCCTCTGGAGAAGGTGTACTTTTGCAGGGTTTTTCTTTTGTTTTTATTTTCATTTGCCTGGTGGGGGTCTATCTAGTGTGGCTATAGTTCCACTGGTAGTGTTTGGTGGCCCTCTGCTAGGCCCCCCCGTGATTGTACATGTCGCAGAGGTTTACAGTGTTGTCCTCTGCCCCCTTGTTATTTTTGGGTGATATCTTGTTATCTTGAGGTTATCTTGAGATGATTTCGGGGCTTTAGTGTCCCCGTGGCCAGCCCTCCACCCCCAGGAAGCAACCCGTGACATCTGACTAACACCCAGGTACTTATTTTACTGCTAGGTAACAGGGGCATAGGGTAAATGAAACTCTGCCCATTGTTTCTCGCTGGCGCCCGGGATTGAACCCGGGACCACAGGATCACAAGCCCAGTGTGCTGTCCGCTCAGCCGACCGGCTCCCGGTTATATAACCGGTTAGCAACACCTTGCCTGGGCTTCCCGTAGTTGTTACCCCTATGGGCCCTGGAAACCCCCTGTCGGGGCTCGGTGGACCATTGAATGTGTCTTCCGGGTTCCAACCCGCCTTGTACGGGATGGTTGGTTGCTGTGCCCTTGTCTCTGGGTGATAGTCGCCACTTTTACCTCCGTCATGTTGCCTGTTGGGTCACTGACACCTTTTCACCTTGACCCGGAGTCTTGCGAGAGATATTCTCTGCTTGTTCTCAAGTACTCTCCTGCTGTTATTACTGTTCAGAGTACAGGCGGCATTTGTGTTGCAAGCTAGGTTAGGTTGCTGCAACACGCTAGGTTGGTTTCCCACTTGGATGTCCCGGGACCGCCCCGTTTTGGTTAGGTGCTGTTCGCTCCTTTCCCTCCCTTTTCCCGGCTCCGGACCGTTTGCGGGTTTCAGGGTCGGGGAGGGGTTTAGTTGGGGCTGAAACTCGGGCGGTTTCAGGGGCTGCACCGTTTGGGTTGGGGACAGAGGTTTCGAGCCTGTTCCTCCTGCCAAGGCTTCTGGGTCTTACCAGCGCCCCTTTCTTGCTGCCTTTCCCATGGACTCTTCCTTTTCATTAAGGGCGGAGGGCTTGGAGGACAGCTGTGCCCTGGGGCCTCTGTTGCGGGTTCCCGGGGCTGTGGGGGATGCCTGCTAGCAGTTTTGGGGCTGTTTGACCCTGCTGGTGTTTTCTGCTTCTGGGTGGAGTTTTTCGCCTATCCAGTCTGCTTGCTTACCACTTTTGCTGGCGTGTTTTTGTATCTTTTGCGTCGGTCACAGCCCCCTGTTCTGGTGGTCATTTTCTTCTGCCGGTTTCCCGGCATGGCCACCAGCGCGGCGTTGCGATTTGTTTACATACGCCTGGGTGTGCGAGCGAGCGTCTTGGGTGAGTTTTTTCACCTTTTTCAGGGGTTTTATTCTCCTGTTGTCGTTTCTTTGCTTTTCTGGTGTTTTCTGCCCGTTTTCTGTTCCTCTGGGAATGTTTGAGTGTTGATTTTACACCGGGTTTTCCGTTTTGTCTGTTTTAGGTCTGGGCCCTAGAGTTTGGGCTCAGTGTCCCTGTCTGTTATGCTTGCTCCCACACCTTGTCCCTCTGTTTTCGGTCTGTTTTGACCGTTTCCCTGGGGACTATGCTTTGCGTTTCTGTGGTGGTCGGCCGAGCGGACAGCACGCTGGACTTGTGATCCTGTGGTCCTGGGTTTGATCCCAGGCACCGGCGAGAAACAATGGGCAGAGTTTCTTTCACCCTATGCCCCTGTTACCTAGCAGTAAAATAGGTACCTGGGTGTTAGTCAGTTGTCACGGGCTGCTTCCTGGCGGTGGAGGCCTGGTCGAGGACCGGGCCGCGGGGACACTAAAAAGCCCAAAAATCATCTCAAGATAATCAAGAAGAAGGTATATCTCCACCAGCAAATGTGGTGGTTTGGGCTCCCCCTGGTTCAATTCCGGGTTCCTTTGGGTTCTTTGGTTTCATTCCGGAGGTTTCTTCCTCTTGGGCCCCCCTTTGTTGGTTCAAGGGGCTTTGTTTCCTCGTGTGTGACCCGGTTTTGCCTTCTGGGGGTTCCGGGGTCTTCCTGGCTTGCAGACTGATCTTTTTGGGTCTTGACACATGTTGTGGTCGTGCTGGGACTTTGGGGTTTTGTTGTCGAGGTGGGCCTTTTGATGCAGTTTTGTGCCTTCTTCGCCTGGCTGGCGTGGTGCTCTCTGCCCACTGGTCAGTGGCTTGTAATTTTCTTTTCACGTGTATGTATGGGTGTATGCATGTACATGTGCATGTGTACACTGTGTGTGTAATTACCTAAGTTTAATTACCTAAGTGTAGTTACAGAATAAGAGCTACGCTCGTGGTGTCCCATCTACCCAGCACTCTTTGTCATATAACACTTTGAAACTACTGACGGTTTTGGCCTCCACCACCTTCTCACTTAACTTGTTCCAACCGTCTACCACTCTGTTTGCGAAAGTGAATTTTCTTATATTCCTTTGGCATCTTTGTTTAATTAGTTTAAATCTATAACCTCTTGTTCTTGAAGTTCCAGGTCTCAGGAAATCTTCCCTGTCGATTTTATCAATTCCTGTTACTATTTTGTATGTAGTGATCATATCACCTCTTTTTCTTCTGTCTTCTAGTTTTGGCATATTTAATGCCTCTAACCTCTCCTCGTAGCT